AAGGTACCTTCCTCTCGATTTCATGTTATTTTGATTATTATTGTTTTAGGATAATTAGTGATTTAGGATAATTAGTAATATAGGATAGTTAGGGTTTTATGATTGTTATTGATTTATGATAGTTAGTGATTTAGGATAGTTAGGTTAGTGAATTTGTTTGTAATTTGCGTAGCTAGTTTTTAGGTTTGAGGTTAGGATTTTGGGTTTAGGGATTGATTAGGTATTTATTATTTAGTTTATAGTTAGTTATTTAGTTAGGGATTTTGGGTATAGATACTAGTTTACAAATGTCGGTATTTACTAGTGCGTGATACGTCGATTTTGATGACTTCATGACGTTTCGTCAAATGCTTATATTCCTAATGAAGTTGTTTATGTTACTAGTGCGTGATATGTCTGTTAATTTAACTTTGAATATATACATGTGCTTTCATATTGCATAACAAGTATTTTAAATTTTGCAATGCTACATAATGTTAATTTGAATTTTGTTAATTTGAATACTCTAACGCTTTGTTTATCAATTTATAACAAGATGGCCCCTCCCACGCAGCACCCATTGTACCCCATTCTTGAGGTGGAGTACGACGACCAACACCGAGCACACATCTTGAGTGACAACGACGCAGAGATGGCCTTGCCTACTTTGAGGCCTCGCACGCACACTAGGGCGCAGCAGTGGGACGAGCGTTATGCCCCGTACATACGGCATGCCGGCTTCCTCGAGCTTGTCCGTGTTGTCAACCACGGTCTTCTGCCCCTTGACCCAGCACTACTTACTGCAGCTGTAGACAGGTGCGAGTGCATTCTTTGTACGTAAACTTTCTTGTCACAAATTTGAGGCAACTAACAGTCGTTCTATTCTTATAATAGGTGGAGGCCTGAGACCCACACGTTCCACCTACCTTGTGGCGAGATGACCTTGACCATGCAGGACGTGAAGACTATTTTTGGCCTTCGGTTGGAGGGACTTCCAGTGACAGGGATAGTTAACAACAATCACTGGAGGAAGCTGGTGGCTCAGTTTACTGGCTTTCTTCCACCGGACGACGAGGCTTCCAAGAAAAATAAGTGATAAATTCAAGCCTATTTAATACTTGCAATACTTTCCTGCAGCCATCGGGTCTCATTTTCTTTGGTCAATTTCAAGAAAACTTTTGGTGTTTTGTCGTCCTGGATCACGGAGCGCTTTGATTACTTGGACCCACATGCTGAGGAGGCTCAGATCGATAGGTTTGCTCGAGTGTGGCTCTGCACTTTCTTGGTGCTTTCCTCTTCCCAGACGCCTCGGGCAACACCATCAGCTGGATCTTCCTTGACATACTACGCCAGCCGTGGGAGAACATAGCGGCGTACAGCTGAGGCAACGCAGTCCTAGCATGGACGTATCGATAGCTATGCGTTGCCTGTCGTCGCACCTCAGGGTATGCGAACCTTGGGGGTTGCTCGTACCTACTCTAGATTTGGTGTTGGGAACGATGGCCCGTTGGGAGGCCACTTAATACTGATTTACCGGTAAGTACTTCGGTTCATTATATTCTTAGATATGGTTACATATGATGAGTTTATTAATGGCTAATTCATTATTGTGTTCAATTGAGCAATGGAATGGGCAGGATACACTCCCTACGGCTCTGTTTATCTAGACGAAATCAGAGTTAGTTAGAGGGAATGCGAGGCACAAGTACAGGGAGTACACGGACGGTCTCGACGTCCTGACACAGCATCAGGTTACGCTCTCTTTACTATCATACTTGTGTCTTGTTCGATCTACACTATATCACAGCCTAACTCAATTACAAAATTTTAGGTGCATTGGTGTCCTAGGGATGCTCCGGAGCTCCAGTACTATCTCAGTCCTGTCACTAGGGACGAGTCAGACGAGTATTGCTGCAACGTCCCTCTTATTTTCTTCCACGTGGTCAAGATTCACTTGCCCATCAGGGTCTGCAGACAGTTTGGAAGAATGACAGGCTGCCCACCACCGCTTTACTCCACCAACCAAGAATTGCATGGGTGTGTTATCGATTAATAACAAAGCTATAAATCAGAGATGTGTGTGGTACAACTAACATCGTTTTGTTGCAGGTATGACCGGAGGAAGAGGTAGAAGACCAAGGATTGGCGCGTGACACACAGCGCGCACATCCATTGGTGGCAGAACAGGGTACGACATCCGGTCCATGCGGGTCCTCCACACGACCAGCACACCTTCAACGAGTACCTGCGGTGGCTTCATAGGTCTACGAGGACATATATCAAGCCCCCATACACTGAGGAGGCAATTGACGAGGACTCGGAGGAAGATGTCATTGAAGATGTGTACGACGTTACCACTAGGGAGGACACACAGCTACAGAGAGCCCCGCTTCAAAGATACGTGGTAAGATACTTGAATGGTACAATTTGTTATCCTTTTGGTATTAAATATGTGTACTAAAATTGTCCAACCGCGTTTCTGTACCCAGGCGACATAATTGTCAAGGCTGTCCAACGAAGCAGCGTTTCGGCTTCACGAGTCTAGAGGGCAGGGGCCATGCGTTCTCGCGGTTTTGTGGAGATAAACATAAACTTGTCCGTTCCAAAAATGTTTATTTAGTTTATATGCATTTGGGAAATGCACTAACTTTAACGTCTATTTATGCAGAAGGTGAAGAAGAGCTGCAGGAAGCTAGCTCAGAAGCTGAGCTGCATGGACACTCCTTATGAGGAACCGCCACTCCCGGCGCGGTCGGGTGGCACGTCTTCAGCCTCTTTGAGGACACCAGCCGGCTCTTCTCAGCCGATGACAGGTGCCACTTCCGCGGTGCGTACACCACCACATCATAGCGTTGGGAAGGACCCTGCAACCGAGGACGACGATGACGACGACGACGATCCTCCGGGCTTCCACAGATAGCACGACTAGTGGGACGATTGGCCACAGGACGAGATCGGCATGTGTCAGTTAGGTGGTGCCCCGCTTGGTACCCAAGGAGCCTCACAGGTACTAATAAATGTAGTTTATTTAAATACGTATGCTCCATGAACTAACGATCATAAAGAATTATAAGTAATCGTGCATATCATATACTTACAGGATATGAGCTGTACGCACCACCGACGCGACCACATTGACGTTGGCTATACTCCCAATGTGTTGCGTCCAAAGAGATAGAGGCGTCTGAGGGATCCTTACACTCATGTGTCTTAGTTTGTTAGGTAGAACTAATATTGGCGTCCGAAACTTGCAGGCTTAGTTGGTTATGTTATATCGAACTTATGTCAAACCAATGAAAATGTTATGTGGCAGCTTGTGAACTTGCGCACGGACTTCATTTATTTGCTTTATATTCGTTTCTATGCGTCGCGGCAGCACTACCGTCATGATTAGCTTTCCTGGCGTCCCTAGATACTACACAACAGATGAGCACCGAATAACAATTGAGGAACATATTATATATCCCCACAACCTAAAGATCATCCACCACGAATCTAGGATCGCAGCTTTATAGTTCATTTCTATCTATTCTATGGAGCTGAAAAGATAGACAGGGAGGAGGAGGCCAAAAGTCGAAAGCATCTGATGAACTTCCATGATGAGTGCGTACGTATATATCCTATGAGTTGTTAAGGAGCAACACCTTGTGATCGATTGATTCACCTATAATTAATGTGAGAGGCGTGTAAGGGGGAACTCAAGACCAGTCATTACGGTGGTTAATATGGGCGGCCGTTGAAAGGAAAAACACATGAAACATACATCTAAAACGTGTGAAATATCCGGTTGCAAAAGGCTCGTCGCTCGACGCTGGCGCAGAGTTCGATGCCATGGAGTGACAGGGTGGTCGCCGATGCGAAGTTCATTGGCGGCACAGGCCTCGGTAGTGGCTGCAATAGGTGGATGGGCGCGTGGCGCGGCGAGTGGCGCAGTTCCAAGCACGAGGCACGGTGGAGGCGGTAAACCGTCCAGGTATCGCCGGGCCATGCGTCGTGGCGTGGCACTGCCGTGTCAAGATAGGTGGCGTGGCAGGCCCTGCCATGTCAACGGTCGCGATTCGGTCGTCGCCACGTCAGCCAGCTGCCGCGCCACCATGAATGGCGCGGCACAGGGATTTGGTCGTGCCAGGACAATAGGCGCAGCCAAAAGTGTTAGTTTAAAAAACCGACCATGTTAGATTTAAAATTAGTTTCCAAAAAATGTTAAAATTAAAAAAAAATTCCTGAATAACAGGTAGCTAGACAGCCCTATGTTACTGCGTCACATGCACTGCTGAATGCTTGCGAACGCCGCATTCTATCACTCCCGATCGATAAGTAGCTGGGCAATAGCAATACACACAACACAACGAAATCAGTCGCAAAAAAAAAAGAGACCCTGCAAGAAACCTACAGTAAGACTCAGCTCGCCAGTGATCGATCGAGTGGCATGGATGGGCCAATTCCAAGCGTGGAGGCCGAGCAACTGCTCGTGCCACGCCGCTCCACCGATGATAGCGGCTCGGCGGCGGCAACCGAGTCGAAGTGAGATAGTATCTGTTACTTTAACATGATATTAATTGCTTAACTGGACACATTATATTGCTAACGAATTGAATTTGTAGCGTCAACACCGCTATTCTGCTGTACATGGTACCGCTTGGCCTCGGCACATCTGCAAGGTGTTTGATCTGTTTGCATCGTCCTCTCTACTGTATTAGCATTTCTCTAGCACCGTACCATAGACCGTATTATATCTTTTCATTTTGCTAATTACTGATTTGCTATATATACTTTTGTTTTCTCCTCTCTGCTAGTACACGCGTCTCCAGTGAACTCGGTGCAGGGCAGCCTGAACCAGCAAGGCTAGCCGTGCGAGTTAGCCTCTTCGCTGGTTGATTTCTGGGCTGATAAGTCCGACTGGTGCTGGTTTGTTGTAAGATAAAAACACTGTTAGCTGACTGATAAGCCCTAACTGAAACTAACAAGCGAACAGGCTGGTGTATATGACCTTGTGTGGAGGGGTGGTGTTGGCAAGCATCATGATTCTCCTGCGCAACATTTGGGGATATGCATACAGTAGCGACGAGGATGTGGTGGCATGCATCGCCAGGATGCTTCCCATCCTTGCTGTTTCCTTCTTCGTCGATGGCCTTAGTGGTTCTCTTTCAGGTCTGAAAACGAATTCAATGGTTGATATGTTTTGGAGACATCTCGTCTAATAATACTGTACTTCCTCTATTAAAATTGAAGACAAAAAATTATCATTTACTAGGACACAATTTGCTCAAATCATAAAAACCACAAACATCAATTACTAGTACTACATCATTCAGTTAAAACCGTTTTAAGTTGAAACTATAGTACTATTTTACTTCTTATTTGAAACACTTATTTTTTATTTTACTAATATTAAATTTTAGGTCCTAGACACACTCTTACCTACTACAATGACATAAATAGTTGTTTCGGTGCTCATGTTTTTCTTAGAGCTGGTGAATCCACTATTTTAGCTTTACTTGCTTTGACTACTCAGAGGAATATAGCAAGGAACCAGAGTTATTTGGAGCCGTTGCAAAGAGGATCTTAGTGATCATTTCATATTACTTTTGTAATAAAAAAGTGTATAACTTTTTAGAAAGCAAGATAGATTTAGTGCCTATTTTTCATTATCTGAGCCTACAGAATTGAAGGCAAGATTTTTTTTTAAATTTTTGTGAGACGATTCTATGTTTTATCTATTTTTTTAGCGTGTCGAATAAGAATTAACGTGAAGGTATAGTAACAGTAAGATTATTTAATTTGGCACTTTAGAGACATAATTTGATGTGTATTTTTTGGTAACTTTCCAGGGGTAATCATAGGATGTGGCAAACAGAAAATTGGAGCTCGCGTTAACCTCGGCGCCTTTTACCTGGTTGGCATTCCAACAGCGGTGTTACTTGCGTTTGTGTTCCATCTAAATGGAATGGTACAATGTCTCTAGTACCTTTCTCCTCTGCCCTACTAATTGTTGTGTAACAGTCGCTTTCACTTACTCATGAGAGTGATAGTTCTTACTCTGAAGCCTCCCGATCTGAATTATTGTTCTGTTTCTTCACAGGGTCTTTGGCTTGGCATTATGTGTGGAAGCATCAGCAAACTAGCGTTGCTCCTGTGGATTACACTGCACATAGATTGGGAGAACGAAGTAAGTAAAAATTCAGCTGCAAGGTTTTTACTATTCGTATGAGCGTTCAGCTTAACTGATGTGTTGTCATGGTCCCAAATTTAGGCTATCAAGGCCAAGCACAGGGTCCTCGGTTCATCAGTGCAGGCATAGTGATGAGATCTGCTACCTTTGTCGCATGAATATATGTCGTTTGTTATGGTTATTTTAGTGTTAGGATCTGTGTGGCATTGCTCAACCACCCAATTCCAGCTCCTAAAAAGATGTGTTGCTTTGTTGTCATGTTACCCATGTGCGGTGCTAAAATTTTCCGGCATGTGTCATGGTAGTAACTTCTACTCACAAACAGAAATCCTAGAAAGATGTGGTGCTTTATTGTCAGGTTACCCACTTGCTTTGTTGTTAGGTTTGCCATTTTGGTAGTAAAACTGTGGCAACAGCAAATTTATGAATTCTGTAGTCAGTTGACAGGTGAGCAGCCTATTATAGGAGAGTAAAAATATGGTACCATCATATAGCGTCGTAAATTTGTAACATTTGTAGTAATGTCTATGATACAGTCTATAATCATAGAATTACTATTTGATCAATCAATTTCAAAGTAGGGGTACTTCAAATTTGGGGATCTAGTTCACAAGATGATATATTATTGTTAGTATTGTCCGTGAGTTCTTGAACTGATGTTAAGTACTTGAATAAACATTACCCCAGATCTACATCACTGTCGGTTCAAAACTCCCCTTCACTGTCGAATTTTGAACCGACAGTGGCATACCGGCAGTGATGGGGGTTGACATCTATGTCGGTTCTTATAAACCGACACTGATGTGAAACCGGCAGTGATGTGGAAAGCCAAAAAATGCATTGAAAAAGAGGAAATAAAATTAATCCCGGAGAGGTCTCACCACCGTGTCGCAAGTCACAAGTCACACGATTTTTCGCGCGAAAAACGAGCGCTTCGCGGCCACCGGCGATCGAACTCCTGACCTCTTGCTTCGCGTATTCGGCCCCTAACCACTCCACCTGCAAGTTGTTCGTGTCCAAATGAGATTTTCGTCCTCGCCATTTTATATTCATCTGATTTTAAAATGAGTATTTGGGATCCTAAACGAATTCAAATGAAAAAGTTGTCAACTACATGTTTTATAACTTTTCGAGATCTACAACTTTTATTTTGGTAGTTTCTCCATCCAAGGTCATTTACAAAATTTGAATTTCAAATTTAAGAAATTCAAACGTAGTTTTCCATGGCAAGATGATTTCAAATGAAAAAGTTGTCAACTACAAAGTTTCATAACTTTTCGAAATCTACAACTTTTGTTATTGCTGTTTGCCCGTCCGAAGTCGTTTAAAAAATTGAAATTTCAAATTTTTGAAAATTCAAACATAGTTTTTCTTGAGAAGATGATTTCAAATCAAAAAGTTGTCAACTATAATGTTTCATAACTTTTTGGGATCTACAACTTTCATTTTGGTAGTTTCTCTATCCGAGGTCATTTATAAAATTTGAATTTTAAATTTTATAAATTTAAATGTAGTTTTCCTTGAGAAGATGATTTTAAATCAAAAAGTTGTCAACTACAAAGTTTCATAACTTTTTGAGATCTACAACTTCTATTTTGGTTATTTGATCATTTACTCATCTAACATAGTGGTAGTAACATTGTTCACAAATGTTACGTATCCCTCTTAGATGTAAATTTTTTGAACAATGTTACTGGATCTCGATTTTTTATATATAAACGTAACTAACCTATCTCCTTTGTAAAGGATTTTTTCATAATGACCACGAACAGTTGCTCCTATAGTGGCCAAATAAGGCTTAGCTGCTCTTAGAACAAAGGAGTCCATATTAACAATGAAAATTTAACTAGATTTTTTATGTGTGATTTAAATAGACATAAATTTTCACAAATAAGTTGTCCAAGGTGAATTATTGCCGATGTCTCTTCCCATGAGTCATGATGGAGAAAGTGCCAATTCAAATGGAATGGCTCCAACATAGGCATAGTTGCTTCTTTCATCCAGCCCAGCACGCCATATAATCCCTTTTGCATGCCCGTGCTTTTACCTCTTTATACGCCTAAGTTAATGTCGATCCAAAGGAAGCCATTTAGATCTGAGTTAAGGAAGGAAGTGAATTTAAGAAACTATAATGGGGATATGTAACATTTGTGAACAATGTTACTATCATTTTATCGGATGAAGAAATGATCAAAATAAAAGTTATACATCTTGATGAGTTCTACAACTTCTATGTTCATGACTTTTTCAGTTGAAATCATTTAGTGTTCCAAAATGACGTTTAAAGTTGTCATTTTTGAAATTCAAAATTCAAATGTATAAAATATAGTCACATAAAGTTTCATAACTTTTGAGATCTACAACTTTTATTTTTGTTGTTTATCCATCCGAGGTTGTTTAAAAAATTCAAATTTCAAAATTTTGGAAATTCAAATATAGTTTTTCTTAACAAGATGATTTCAAATCAAAAAATTGTCAACTACAATATTTTATAACTTTTTGGGATCTACAACTTTCATTTTGGTAGTTTCTCCATCCAAGGTCATTTACAAAATTTGAATTTTAAATTTTAGAAATTCAAACGTAGTTTTCCTTGACAAGATGATTTCAAATCAAAAAGTTGTCAACTATAAAGTTTCATAACATTCTGAGATCTACACTTCTATTTTGGTTATTTGATCATTTACTCATCCGACATAGTGATAGTAATATTGTTCATAAAATTTACATATCCCTCTTATAGTTTATGCAATGTTACTACCACTTTATCGGATGAAGAAATAACAAAATAAAAGTTATAGATTTTGATAAGTTCTACAACTTTTATGTTCATGACTTTTTTAGTTCAAATCATTTAGTATTCCAAAATAACGTTTGAAGTTGCCATTTTTTGAAATTCAAAATTCAAATATGTAAAACACAGTCACACAAAGTTCCATAACTTTTCGTGATCTACAACTTTTGTTTTTGCTGTTTGTCCATCCGAGGTCATTTAAAAAATTCAAATTTCAAATTTTTGAAAATTCAAATATAGTTTTTCTTGAAAAGATGATTTCAAATCAAAAAGTTGTCAACTACAATGTTTCATAATTTTTTGGATCTACAACTTTCATTTTGATAGTTTCTCCATCTAAGGTCATCTACAAAATTTAAATTTCAAATTTTAGATATTCGTAGTTTTCCTTGAAAAAGATAATTTTAAATAAAAAGTTGTCAACTATAAAGTTTCATAACTTTCTGAGATCTACACTTCTATTTTGGTTATTTGATCATTTACTCATCCGACATAATGGTAGTAATATTGTTCACAAAATTTACATATCCCTCTTATAGTTTATGCAATATTACTATCAATTTATCGGATGAAAAATAACCAAAATAAAAGTTATAGATTTTGATAAGTTCTACAACTTCTATGTTCATGACTTTTTCAATTGAAATCATTTAGTATTCCAAAATGATATTTGAAGTTGCTATTTTTTGAAATTCAAATATATAAAACACAGTCACAAAGTTTCATAACTTTTCAAGATCTACAACTTTTGTTTTTGATGTTTGTCCATCCGAGATCGTTTAAAAAATCAAATTTAAAATTTTTGAAAATTAAATATAGTTTTTGTTGATAAGGTGAATTCAAATCAAAAAGTTATCAACTATAATGTATCATAACTTTTTGGGATCTACAATTTTTATTTTGGTAATTTCTCCATCTAATGTCATTTACTAAATTTGAATTTCAAATTTAGAAATTTAAATGTAGTTTTTCTTAACTAGATGACTTCAAATCAAAAAGTTGTCAAATATAAAGTTTTATAACTTTTCGCGATCTACAACTTCTATTTTGGTCATTTGATCATTTACTCATCCAACATAGTGGTAGTAACATTGTTCACAATGAAACTATAAGAGGGATATGTAACATTTGTAAATAATGTTACTACTACTTTATCAGATGAAGAAATGATCAAAATAAAAGTTATAGATCTTGATAAGTTCTATAACTTCTATGTTCATAATTTTTTCAGTTGAAATCATTTTGTGTTCCAAAATGATGTTTGAAGTTATCATTTTTGAAATTCAAAATTCAAATATATAAAATACAGTCACATGAAAAGATGGATAAAATAATAGCTATAACAAAACAATAAATTGATAGAGCATGATTTTAAAAATTTTTAGGAAAAAAATCATCAAATTTGAAGTTAGTATGAGGGGAAAAGACTAGTTACAAGTTTTAGCCAGAGATTAAAAAGAGAAATTAGAGTTATTCAACAATTTCAAAATTTAATTTCAATCAGCATTTTAAAGTAGTAAATGATTTTAAATGAAAAAGTTGTCAACTATAAAATTGCATAACTTTTAGAGATATACAACTTTTGTTTTAGGTGTTTCTCTATACGAGGTCGTTTGAAAAATTCAAATTTTAAATTATAGAAATCAAACGCAATTTTCATTAGACAGATGATTTTTAATAAAAATATTTGGATATCCAAACGATCTCAAATTTAAAAAGTTTGAACTATAAAGTTGTATATCTCGTCGAGTACTACAACTTTGATATAAAGTTCGTCTTCATCAGACATCGTATAAGAAACTTATGAAGTTTTCTTGCAGCATATCACTGTCGGTTAATGCACGAACCGACAGTGATAGCGTCATTGTTGGTTTTTTGCTAAAACCGACAGTGATGATCCAATATCACTATCGGTTCTTGACTAAAACCGGCAGTGATATGAACTGACAGTGAAGACCCGAATATCAGGATCGGTTGGGCTATCAGTGTCCTATCACTGTCGGTTTTAACCAAAAACCGACAGTGATGGACTATCACTGTCGGTTTCTCAAAATCCGACAGCGATGAGGCCGGCAGTGATGTCCAATGCTGTAGTAGTGAAAATATAAAGACACAAAAATGAAAATACATTATTTATTCTATAACAATAATGGGTAAAAATACAACATCATTTTACACTTAAAAATCACTTTTTCCCCGTCAATATAAATAACACTGGGGTTGTCAACATGGCGATGGACATTCCAAGCTTCCAGCATGCATGTTGCTGCTTCCCATCATCCCTTTTTTCACACATTACTAATCTAAACTACCGATCTACAAGCATTGTAACAGT